CCAAGGAGAGGTTCTTTGATGCCGCGTAGGAAAGAATCCAGATTTTAATGCGCCCATCTGTTGCAGTTTTGCAAATAATTAATATATGTGCGTGCGTGTGCGGGAGGGAGAGGGCTGGAGGCAGCGGTGACGCCCGTGAACTTTAAACGCAAAATAGAAGGTCGCGGAGATTTACGCGTCGTTCGGAGGGTCCGCGCTCCCGCCCCGAGGGGCTCCGGCCCAAAAGTTACTCGGGGCGGCCGGGCCGCGGGGCTCGGGGCGGCGGGTGCCGGCGGGGCGGGGAGGAGGGCTCCGGCCGCCGGGGAGAGCTCCGGCCGCCGCCCGCGGGAGCGGGGCATTGTTGGGGCCGGGCCGGAGCCGGCGCCGGCGCGAGGCGGGGACGCGGCGCGTCACATCCCCGTTCGCTCCGGCCGCCGGCGGGGCTCGGTGCGGGGCAGGAGCGGCGCGGGGCGCGGCTGCCGTCCGCCCGGCTGAGCGCTCCGCGGGGCTGCGCTCCCCCCGCCGCCGCCCCCCCGTGCAGTTTAAAATAAATCCAACAGGGGCCGTGTTTGCTGAGCTGATCTGACCGCTTGATACAGATAGCGGCGGCGAGCCTCCCCGCTTATGTGGAAAAAGACTATTTTAAGTGTCATAATTAAGTTTAGAAGCCTTGTTTGGGCTCATTCACTGCTCGAAATAAAAAGGACTGGCTGCTTTTAGAGCCTTTCTGAAGGGGTTGGCGAAGCGCCTCTGCACGTTTGCTCGGAGAAGAATGTTTTCTTTTCTAGTTTAATATTAGAAACTATATTTTTACTCGTTTGAACTGGATTTGATTATTCCTGCGGAGGTTTTTTTTTTTCCTCTCTCCCCCCCCCCTCCACCCCCCCTCCCCTATCACTCAAATCTTTGTTCATTGTTCATTGACTGGGGAAAGGCTGCTTAAATGTACGGAGAGAGTGGGGAGGCCCCCTCGCTGGTTTGATGTTGAAATAGTAAACCTGAATGAGGAGGGTGGCTGGAAAAGTGGACATTGCAGCTTTAATTAACTTCAAGATGCTTCGGCGAGGACCAGAGCGTAGTAGTGACGTTGCCTCATAAATCTGCCCAGTGCCGTGCGTTGCATTGAACTATTACAGTATCACCGTCATGCTGAATATTCACTACCTATCCGGGAGCAGATTTGCATAATTGGATCTTTTTTTCTTTTTCTTTTTCTTTTTTTTTTTTTTAATGAAACTTGTTTGCAAAAAAACAAACAAAACCAAAAAAAAAAAACCAAAAGCCCAAGTGAAAACCGCGGCGATCTGCATGATTGTAAGGGGTTCAAACATATCCGAAAAGTAAGTGACCTGCATCAGTACATCAATAGGTTAAGTGCAAATAAGATGAGAAGTGCTTCTGAAAGCTGTACATTCCCTACGTGGTCTCTTGGGTTATTTCTCAATAGCGGGATTTTTTTGTAGCCTCAGGGATTTTAGGTTTTCTGTCTGCTTTCATAACTTTTTCCCTCACAGTCCTCATGCAAGGTGAGGCTTCGTGCGGTGCCTGCGTACCTGCGGTGGGCTTTGGGAAGGAAATAGATGAGCAGTTGGCGATGCGTGGTGTTGGAGCTGTATAATTACACTGCTGTGAAGGGAGATGTGCGTTGCTGTTGTGTTGCTGATCATCGCGCAGATCTTCACGGAGTACTTGGGAATATTCAAAGATTGCGTGTGTTCGCGTATGCTGAAAAACTGACTTACTTAACTAAGCTGTTACTTCATAAATCATAGAGGCAAGGAGTTTTTTAATGCGTTTCTCCCCTCCTGTTTCACTGAGGATGAAGATTACTGGAGTAATTAAAAATGCCGGGGATTTTTAGAGTGAATTTGTAGATTATACGTGAAAGCCATCCGCTCCCATCCGAGGAGCTGGCGTGCAGGATCGCAGGTTTGGATCAGGCTCGGAAGTATTTTGCAAGACAAGATTCCGGGCTTTCAGATACTGTGGGGACAAAGTTGTGAGCGGAGGCGGCCAGCGGCTCTGCCCGGAGCAGCGACCCGTGGGGACGCGGAGCGGGAGCAAAGGCTGCGTGCAGCCTGAGCCGTGCCGGCTGCCCCCCCGCGCCCAGGGCTGCTTTAGTTATGATGTCATTCTGATAGTGGAGAGCAAATGTCTCCTGATTCTGCCATTAAACGCCTGGCTGATTTGCCTGATAATGATAGCATTGACGTCCTGCTCCTTGACAAATGCAAGCCCTATGAGCCCTATGAATTAACTTTTCTCCCATAGATGAGAGGTAGCTAGCTTTACGATTCGTAAACGTAGCAGCACTTCTCTGACAGATTGCTTGGAACCTCGTTGCAACAAACCCCTTCCCCAAACCCCGCTCGCGTCAGGCTGCTCGTGCACCCCTGTGCAGTGCGGGCCTGATGCGTGAGCTGCTGAGCTCTGAGCACTTCCACTGACTTGGGATGGAGTTGTGGGGGCCCGGCTGCTGTGATATGGGGGCCCTGTGTTCAGCTTTCCTCTTCTTTTGTTTTATTTTTGAAAGTTGGTCAGCTAAAGAGGGCTCTGTGATTTCTCGTCATTATAAAAATGCTTGTAAATAGCTTGATGTGTTTGTCCTGCTCTGTTCTGTTTTTTTCCCTTTCTGCTCTCCTTTTGTAATTAATTGGATGCACTATTAAAATTTTAATCTATTGAACAGAAGTATCATAAATGAGTTGTTTAAAGTTTTCAGAATGTCGTAGGAAGAAAATGTCTCCAGTTGGTAACAAGTGCTTGGAGAATCGGCTGCTGTCTAAGCCCCTGCACTGGAAGGGAATCCTCCTGGTGCAGCTGATCCAGCCTGCAGCTGGGGACACTCTCCCTTTCTGCTCTGTCCTCAGATTTGCTTGTGACTTTGAGTTTGTATCACTGCAGGTAAATGAAATTTAATATGATTTAATTTTTTTTTTTTTTTAAGTGCAACCAGCTTAAACTTTGTTTTCATTTGCTGTTTAAACGATGACAATTAACAGCTGCAGATGCAAGGAAGGTTAGTTCCTCTATTACATTTGCAGGGAACGCGTCTAAAATATTTGCATGCTCAAGCTGCCTTTTGCAAATGAGTTCCCGAAGATACAAGTTGCTGAGACAGAAATAGTGTATTCAAACACTTTTAATAATTGACTGTGTCTTTATCAATTGTAGTGAAGAAAAAGGAATTGTTCTATGGGCTTTTTGACTTCTGAACGTATTGGAGCTCTCTGATACTCAGCAAGTTGTCTGGTGCTGTCTTCACTGAAGACTTTTATGTAATGAAGAGGCTGATTGTCATATTTTTGTCCATGCTGGAGGCCAATAACCCAACCCATTCATTATCGGAAGAGAGTAGCCTGGAAGTTGCAACATCAGGACCACTGTTTTGCTTGCAGCAATGGAGTGCTGAGATTGGGAATGGTGATTTTTCAGTACAGAAACCTGGCACATGTGGTTGTTTACCCGCTATGGGAATCATAGGTGGCCAGAGATGTTTGCATTAGCACAGACATAGAAAATCCAGCAGCCCACTGGAATGGGTTTGTGCTCATTCCTGGGAAGCACAAGATTCAGCAGGCAAAGGAAAATCTGTAGGAGTCGTTTTGTGTCATGTTTTGGCTTAAAGTTAACTTTGAATTGCACAGGTGTTTGTGGAGTGCTTTGCCTTAATAAATAAATAAATAAAATGCATGGTTTTAGATGAACTTTATAAAAAATTGAAGAGAAAGCCATAAATAGATTTATTTTTACAGTTTGAATAAGGACAGCTACAGCTTTTATTATCTTCTGATTTAGCGTGTTTTGATGGCACTTGTAAGTAAATTTAAATTTTAATCTCTGAATTTCTCTCAGATATGAGTAGATGTGCGTACGCTCTTCGTTACTGCTAAAAGCAGGACTGTACTGAAAAGGCATTTTTGCATTCTCTCATTTACACCTGGCATTTTTTGCCTTATTCTTT